GATTTCTTGAATGACTAAGTTGAGGAAGAGCCTTCCAGGCAAAGGGAATGGGACCTAGAGCATAGCACAGTTAGTTCTTGACTACTATGTAATGTGTTCCCTCCTCCACTATGAAAAGGCTCCTTTTCTCCTCCCTATCAAATAGACCTGACTCTAATCAGCTTCTATTGGCTCTTTGTCCTCTAGGATGGAAACTGAAAACTCAGACCCAATGTATTCATTACATTAGTGGTTGTAGAGAGGGCGCAAAGGAAAGTGTTAGAAAGGTCAGAGCATCAGTGCCACTGAGGAAACTTGGCTTCAGAAAGTTAAATGACTTGCCAAGATCATAACTGTGAGGCAAGGATTCAATTCCACATTTTATGACTCTATATCCAGTATTCCTTTCACCAAGTTCTCCTAATTATTGTGTATATTTACTCATTAATTGCTAATTAGAACATAGAATAATTTGATCATGCTTCAGATAGAAACCACTCCTTCTTCCTTCTTCCCCAGGCTGTAACACCCATTATGTCCTTTCACAGAGCTGTAGTTGGTACAATAGTGAATGCTCTATTCTTAGCTACTGTTTTTCTACTTTATAAAAGAGTTGTTTTCCCCTCAGGTTAAATCTGAGTTGCATTCTGTTGTTTTTTGCCAAAAGAAGTGGAAATAGGTTCCAGCAGAGATGTTTCCGTTAATCATACAGGTTTTGAGTGATGTTGAATATTAGTCTGTTAGTCCCAGGAACCGGAGTGATACAGTCAAAAATACTACAGATTAAACTTCATTTCCCTCATAATTTTGACTTCCAGTACTTCCCAATCTCTTCAGAGTGCAAACACTATATTTGAACATTATTATGCTTTTACAGAAAACAAAACAAAAAACCTTTCCTCCTTTTACAATACTACAACTATTGAATTACCGGAAAAGTTTATAAATGCTCATTAATTTTATTTCCCATTCTATCTATACTCATCTCTTCCCAAGCCAATCTAATTAGAGTTTGCATGCGGATTGGGTGACAGGAAGTATTAGCAAGCAGATTGCCTTTCTCTTTTTCCTTTTCTTTTTAATGAGAACCATCTGAAATGAGTCCAGTGCAAGAGTTTCCACGTCAAGCACTTGGGAGCCAAGTGTACACATCTGGTAGAGTCTTCCAGATGCAAGGTGGATGTGGATAGATATATCTGATGCTTAACCTGATAAAGCCACTGGTCACTTTCCCAAGGATATGCTTAACCTTGCAGATTTCAACCCTGCCCTATTGAAGAAACTTGTATTTCTAATTCACCAGTAACTACTGGTACCTGGTAGGTATACTTCTTACTCTGAAACCCAAAGGAAGCATTGAGCCATTTGAATATAATTGTGTCAACTGATGCCCTTTTATGTGGTGATGAGATTATATCATCTGTTATCTATTTTTACAGTTAAATAAAACATCCCTGAGAAACTGATTCAGCAGGTAATATAAGGGAGTATAGATGGCCTCACTGATCTGTCCATAATAGATGGGACCAGGGACCTCTTGGCCAAAAGAGTCACAGGAGATTTGGGATGATGTTTGAGGTAGAAGCTTGGAGTGCTATGCCCATTTCCTAAAAAGCCTCTGATGCTGTTTTCAGAAAGCATCATGGATCCTGAGTTAGAATGGGACTGCTTGTTCTGGGTGAGGGAATCACATTTGGGCTCTAAATTATGATCTGTATCTGGATATTTGGCAAATATCACAGCCACAATGGGAACATATCCTTTTCCAACATAATCATGCTCTCATAATATTAGAAAGGAGTTAAGGTAGAAGTGTGATATGAAAAGAATAACCTTAATTTCCTTGGTTGGGGTTCTCATAGCAGAGTTAAGATATTTTATTCTGTGATTTTGCTACCTATGGTTTGTGGAAGACCGCTTATCTCTTCTTAATCATTTGGTCTCCAACCAATAACTGAACAACTTACCATGCTGTACTGGGTACACAGATGTGAGTAGATCAAGGTCCCTCAGAGAGCTCTAGGACAAACTAGGGAGGGCAACAACCAAGTAGATGATTAATGACAGCTCCGTGTTAAAGCTTGGTGGGGCCAGTTTAACACAGAAGGCAAAATTAAGGCTCTCCTGAGAGTGCAGAGAGGTGGTTGAGTCCTGTTGGGGTAAGTCTGGGGAAAGCAGTGCCCCACAGGATTGAGGAAAGAGCAGGAAATAGCGATTACATTCCTGACAGAATCCACAGGGAGAGGACCCAGCTGGAAATGTAGGTGTGCCAGCAGTGAGAGAGACAGGGTGGGCAGGGTGAGAGTGCAGCTGCGAGGGAAGGAATGGGTGACTGGGCTGGGACAGGGTTTGAATGGAGCTTGAGTGGGTGGAGAGGAGCAAGAGAACTGAGGAGACGTGGTCTTACTTGAAAACAGCTGGCACCATTTGGCCTTGTTTCTGTGTTTTCACTCTTTAAAACAAAGACGAGTTGGGTCAGGATGTCTCCCCAGCTGTGCAAGAGGATGATCATCAGAGGTGGTGCCACATTGGCTGTGCACTACTGCATCTCTAGGATGAAAGTGGAAGGAGCACAGCAGTCTTTTACAGCACAGGCTCCTGTTGCAGGAGAGGGAGCTGGCATGCGGGGCAAGTGCTTTCCCGCTGAGCTGCATTCTGGCCCACAATGGATAGTACTTTTGATGTTTAAAAAATATGTAAGTATAAAGCAAACGTTTTCCACTTTCTGAAGGCAAATGTCTTTTACATTGGCAAAGCCAAATTCAGAGGATTTTTTGCCCTAAATAACTTTGTCTTGTATGTTAATGTCTTTGGGTAATAAATAACAGAAACAAGGACATACACTTACTAATTTCCTAACTCAGAGACTGAAAAAGGGCATATTAATTTACTTTTATATTTGCAGATTTAAAACAGAAGATTTGTTATGTTTCTGTTTATATATAAATGCTCATGTCCTATTTACAGAGATACACAACTGCATGTTATCCTCCTTCAGGGTGTGGGGAAAGGTGAGACAAACCCCACTGCAGCCAGTAGGTGAAGTTGTGGAGAGCCTGGGGGTCAGGATGGTCTGGGACTGAGGTGAATTGGGGCTAAGAGTAAGAAACATTTACCATAGTGGAACCCTCCAAGAGGTTGATAGTTAACTGTGAGTGTGACTTTGTCTAGCTCTAGTACAAAGCCCTCTGGTCACTACTGTTTCTGAATGTTTGAAAGCACTTTCAAAGCCTGCCTGCTCTTCTGCTAAGTAAATAAGAGCTTAGTGTCAGCCCAAAAGAGCAGCTAACTAGATTCTGTTTGCTGGTGGCAGATTTAGTTGTGAATATAATTCCCATTTAAAATTGCTCTGTTCTGGCCCTGATCTCATCCTGCTTGGTAGAGAGATACTTGCTGAGCATGCTGAAGTGGCCATAATGGTGTTTATGGGAAGCATAGTAGAATATGACGAGAACACAGACTTCTAGAATCAATCAGACCTGGGTTTTAACTTTGGCTACACACATCTTATTTCTGGACAGGTCATGTAATCTCTCTGAGCCTAGTTTTTAAGTTCAACATTTATAAGGGAGGGGAGTGGCAGTTGCCCTCTGACCTAGAGGGAAGAATATTTTACCTCTAAATTGCTTAGAATTGTTGCATGGTGGTAAAAATCAGATTTGATTCTGTTGGCTTTATTACCATTTTTCAATATCCTGAAGACTATGTATGTATACTCTTCTTGCCTGACTCGGGACTGTGCTCAGTCACCGCCTGTGTTACTGCACAGTGGGATGATCTTGCATACATGAGAAAGCTATGTGAAATCTCAATGGAACAATATTAGTAAAGCCACCAGTGCTGTGCTGTGCCACACACATGGCTTTCAGACATTCATTCAACAGACATTGACTGAACGCCTGCCATTAGCACTGTGCTAGATGTTGGGGTTATAGCTGCACACAGGGAAGAGAGGACTTGCTTACTAAACGAGAGAGCAAGTATTTATTACAAGGAGGTTCATAAGTGTATTTTGATTTCCTTTGTTAAAAAATATCCGTTTTTTTTGTTTGATTTGTCTTTGGATTTTGCAGATGTCAAAATTGGTTCACATGGGTATAGTTGGCTTTATCTTCATTTAGCCTAACTTGGTTAATAACACCATATTTGGTTAAAATGTTAATCTGAAGACATCCTGACAAATAATTATGAATATTATCTGCCTTCTCCTCACTTTTTAAAATATTACTGATACATAATTCACATATGATACAGTCAGGCAGTGTAGTGAACAATTTAGTGCTTTTAAGACCCTGTACAGAATTGTACAACCAGCATCACTGTCAGTTTTAGAACATTATCATCCCAAGAAGGCATCCTCTCCCATTAGTAATCTCTCACCAATTGTCTCTCATCACCCTAACCTTAGGCAACCACTAATCTACTTTCTGTCTCCGTGGGTTTGCTTTGTGGACATTTCATATAAATGGAATCAAACATATGGTCTTTTAAAACTTGGCTTCTTTCACTTGCTCTAATGTTTTCAGCATTCATCCCCTTGTAGCATGTACTTCATGTACTTTATTGTTGAATGATATTCTATTGCATGGATATTTTGTTTTTCCATTCATTACTTATTTATCATTCATTAACATTTGAGTTTTTTTCCACCTTTTGGCAATAATGAACTGTAAATATTTATTTACAAGTTTTTTTAACGTGATTTCCTTTATCTTGGTTCTGCATGTAGGAGTGGAATTGTCAATATAGTGACTGTAGTTGGTAATATGGTAGTTCTATATTTTGTCTTTTGAGGAACTGAAAAGATTGCCTTTCAAAGACATATAGTTTTGCATTGCTACCAGAGGTATATGAGCCTTTCAGTCTAGCTGAAATGTTCAGTCGAAACAAAAGATGTCAAGCATCTTTTCATGTGCTCATAAGCTATTTGTGTATCTTTTGGAGAAATGTTTACATGGATCCTTTGGCTGGTTTTTAATTGGGGTTTTTGTCTTCCTTTTCCTTTATTTTGGCCTGTGCAGGATGCTGATATGCTAACAGGTGATGAGCAAGTATGGAAGGGAGTGCAGGAATCCCTGAAAAAAATTGAAGAACTGAAGGCCCACTGGAGTATCCTTTCACCTAGAAGTTGAACTGGACTCTTGGTATTACTTCTTTATAGTTTGAAGCTTGATGTTAATGTGGCCAAGAGTGAGATTTGATTTCTCTGTGGGGTTCATGCTATTCCATGGCCATATACTACATCTCTGGGCCCAGCCAGGGATATGGGTAATGGCTGGGGAAGATTGTAGTAAACAGCATTAATATACCACCATTAGGTAGTATGGCTGGTAAGAGTATGTACAGGAGAGTTAAGTGGACTCTGTATGTACATGAACATCTACATGTACATGTATGAGCCCCTTTCTCCTATAACCACCTTCATCTCTCAGAAAGAACAGTTTAGAATCTTTATAATTTAATACCATTGACCCCCAGACTTAGAAGCTTCAGCATGAACTGGGCATGGCTACAGCATCAGTGGGAGTTGCTGCATATTACATTTTCTTGAAAGTAGTAGGTCAGAGTTCAGAGAAAAGAGAGAAGAGCATGTGATGGAAGTCATATGGAAAACTCCACTGATGTTTTACTGTATGAAAAGTATCGTAAGTCAGGAACAAGGATGGATAGGTAAAGGCTGAGCGGGAGGTCACTCCCAGTAGGGAATTTCACTTGGGCAAAAATGTGACAAAGGAAAACCACAGGTTGGAAAGAGATGGAAGAATGAAAAAAGATTGCAAAAGGGCAACAGATGTCTTGGCTTAATTATGTCCCAGGAAAAAAGAAAATCTGCAAATGAGGTTTCTAAACAGCAAGTAATATTTTAAAAATCATTGTAAAGGACAGGAAGGTAGCTCAATGGATGTTTCTACTTCTAAAGATAAAGTATACAATTTCAGAAATTATAGTCCATTGAGTTTTTTTTAGCAGTCTTAATAAAAAATCTACAATTGTTAACTAAGAAATAGAAAACAGAGCTGTGATCACCAGGATACTATATGGATTCACTAAGAGAAAATTTCTCCATGGAGCCATGATTTCTTTGAAAAAGTTTTATACAAGGAGGAGTAAAAATTTTATAATAGATACTAGCAGAATCAGGTGTCCTGCTAAATGGCTAAAGGTCAAATGGCTGTATCGAAAGACTGATGCTGATTGGATCACTGTCACTCTGGAGTTCTTTGTTCTAATCTCAGGCCTCTTTGGCACTTAATTCATTACCTTGTGTCAGCTTTCCCATGACCGGAACAAAATACCCAACGCCAACGACTTAAAGGAGGAGAGGTTTATTTTGGCTCACAGTTGCAGTGGGTTTGGTCCACGTTTGGCCAGCTCCAAAGCAGGAGGTGCCAGGTGGAAGGACCAGGAAGAAAACTGTTCTTATCACAATGGCCAAGAAACAAAGAGAAGGGAGGTGCTAGGAGCAAGAATAGATCCTTCCAGGTCATGCCCCAGTGACTCACCTCTTCCAACCAGGCTCCACCTCTGAAGAGCACATTGAGCTACAAACTCACCAGGGAATTAATCCCCCCATGATCTAATGGCCACTTCTGAGATGCATGAACTTTTGGGAGACATTTTAGTTGTAAAGTGTAATATCTTGAATAAAGATTCAGAGTACAGGTTTATCAAATGTCCAAAGGTGTATAGATGGGAACGATAGCAGAATTGGGATGATAAATCAGGAGTTCAAAAGATTGGTATCTGAGTTTCAAAGAATGAAAGTTAACAAGAATTTATATAAAATCTTCTATTTGGGGAAAAGCATCCAAGTGTAAAAATATGCAGAAAGTTAAACAACAGAACATGTGAAAGAATTTTAGAGCTTTGATAAACAGCAAATTTTAATATAATCCTCCAAATGATGGCTGTGATCTTAGGATGTATTCAGAGAACTACAGAATGTAAACTGAGAAAGGAGATAGTATTGATCTGGTCATAGCTGGAATTTTACATTCTGTTTGGGGCAGGACACACTAAGAAGAATGTAGGAAAGCTGAAATGTTTTCAGGAAAGGAACCAGAGCCATGGAAAAATTTTTGAAACCCCATCTACAAATGAGATGGGAGATAGCAGGGAAACAGCTAGCTCTTTGAGCAAGAGGTCCATATTTGTGGGCTTACAGAGCCATTACACTGAGAGTACAAGACTTGTTCTCTGATCCCACGTGGCAGATATAAGGTCCATGAATGATCCAGCTACAGTTCAGTCTCAACTGTATAAAGTTTTACCAGTAACTGACTGTGCTAGGTACATTGTTGGCCATGATCCACCTTATGACCTAGGCAGAAATTAGAAGACACAGTCCCACATGCACAACTCTCATACATAGCAGGGTAGTAAACTGTAGATTAACACACACTGTTCTTTGGATGAGTATCACCTAAAGATCCTTATGTAAAGGCTTAGTGGGAGGAGAGAGAGAGTGGTAGAGAGGCAGTGGTAGGAGGTGCTATTGACTTTTAAGATGTGAGGCCTAGTAAGAAGTCCTTAGATAATGAGGGTTATGCTCTTGAAGGAAACTACAAGATCTTCTTAGTGAAATCTACAAGATTTCTCAGTGTCTCTCTGCTTCCTGCCTTGAGGTGTGAGTTCTGAATGTGTTCCTGCCATTGCCATCAGTGCCTTCTTGAGAGACCAGGCTTAGACTTGAGCCTCCAGAACCACAGCTAAAATAAACCTTTCCTACTTAAGTTGCATGTATCAGGCATTTCATTATAGTGAGGCAGAGCTAACTAATACAGTACCTACTTTGGGCAAGATATATATTTATTTCTAGGAACATCAAAGATAATAGAATTCAGCTCTTGGAGATTAAAGGAGGTTTCACAGAGTAAGTGCCAGCTGCTGACCTGTGCCTGGGAGAATTAGCAGGTATTCATTAGTAGGCCAGCAATAAAAAGGGAAACCAGCAAAGAGAGTAACAGTGCAGACAACAGAATACAAGATGGCATGTGTAGGGGGATGGCCAGATGTTCAGTACTAGACGAGGGGAATGTGGAAAGCCTAGTGCCATGCACAGGTTAGGGTTTTAGGTGGGAGGCAACCCCAGGATGATGTTAAGCAGGAAAGTTCCTAAGTACATGTATAAGAGCGCTGTGTTCTGACAGTCGTGGAGTCTCAAGTTGATTAAGTCCCAAGTGAACTGACTTTGCTTCCTTTTCTTTTTTCCCTAATCCTCTTATAGTCACTTAAAAGTAATCAGTAAAAAGAAGGTTATCTCTGCTGCCCATGGTGATCTCTTTTCTATGGGTGGGCTCTCTGGGCCTGCGTCAGCCCAGATCTCTGCCCTCTACAGAACAGTGACTGGCAGTGAATACCACACAGATGCCAAGGACTAAATCTTTGCACAAATACACATCTGCACTAGCTTTGGGGGAAAGCCTCTTAGTTAAAATTACTCAGCTTTCTCTTGCTCACTTGGGTGTTTTGCAAGAGAGGTTTTGCCTTGTTTGCCAGGAGCTGGCTGCCAATATTGTGGAGGGAAATTGGCATGGAGCCCTTCGTCGCTTGTGTAGGGTACAATACATGTGTTCCTATACATAGCTGCAGAACATCTCAGCTGGTTCCAGCTTCTAAGTCTTGTCACCTCAAACTTCTTTAGAATGAGTTGCAATGCATAGAAATGAGTAGACAAAAGTGGAGGTCAAACAACACAATGTTAAAATAAGATACAAGGCTTGCCACAGAAATGTCTAGCATTGTATAAGAGACAGCCATTCCTCCTGACAGTTCATCCAATATCTAATCTTGGAATGAAAAGCCGCAGAGGTTAACCCAGCAATATGTTACAAAAATCAGTGCATTGCCTAAGATACCACATCCTCCAGCCTCCAGAGGGTACATTCAGTAAACTTTAAACATGTGTGTCAGAGGACTGCAAAAGAAAATCACTAACCCACTTTTTTCCCATAAATGGACCCCTTCGAGGATCAGAGTCCTTTCCTGAGAGCCAGAACTCATCCTAAAACAATAGGGGTCTCTGGTGCTTGAAATCCCCACCAAGGAAGTCATGCTTTAGGGGGAGATGTTCTGCCCCTGCCGAAAGGGAAGTGTATTTCCCATGAGGGTTCATGAAGTTATTAGCCCCATTCACACAAGTGGCCTGATTGGGTCTGCTAATTTTCCAAGCATGTTGGAAAGCAGTGCTCTGGGGAGGCAGGCACTGGAAAGGTAGATTTTGCTGGAGAGAGGGCTAAGGGAGCAGTGCTGTACACAGCAGGCTGACTGCTCAGGGCAGGAATCACTGTGTTGGGATAGCAATGGAGAGGGCTTGAGTTAGAGGGAAGGGATGAGCACTGGGCTGTGAGGAGGCTGAGTTAGGTAGGAGTGAAGGGGATGGGACTTCTATCAAGCCAGGTCCACTATCCCCTTAAATCTGCTCATGACCAAAAGAAAGGACGAAGGCCCTGCTATCTGTGCAGCATGTACTTTGTTCACGCTAATAAATGTTTTCCTGGGTGTCCATAACAGCCAGAACTCTGCCTGGTTTCTGGTAGAACACGTAAAGAGTATTTTCATTTTACTGGCAGCACTTTACTTCTTACTGTGACGTTAAGCTTTTTTTTTTTTTTTTTCCTGGTCTATCTCAAAGCATTGTGTTCTCAGAACCTCAAATCTGACGAATGATAGAACTTGCCAAGATTTGAACCCAGCTTTATCCATGATCAAAGGGTATGACATTTCTACCATATCTGAAATCTTCAGACATTTCCCCCCAATTGGATTCCAGCAGATGGAGGCAGAGCTGCGTGAGGTGGCGGTGGGGCAAGATGGGGAAAGGGCCGATCCCAGTCCAGCACTGTCCTGGGCTCCACCCAGCAAGTATGAAGTAGTATGGCAGAGACCCTCCAAAGTCCCAGGGTCCTGCACCATTGACCTCAGCGGTGCTTGTGCGGTCAACACCCTCAGTACCCCAAGTTCTCGGTCCTCTGGCTGCTTCTGGTTAAAAGTAGGTTAAAAGTCAGACACAGTGATGCTCACCTGCCACCCCAGCTACTCTAGAGGCTGAGGCAGGATGATCATTTGATTCTGTGAGTTAGAGACCAACCTGGTCCATATAGCAGAGCTCCATCTCTTAAAAAAGTGAAGCCACACATAGGCTTCACAAGATTGAGTTTTTGATCCATGCTTAATGAGGAAGTCCATATTGCTGAGAAGGAGACATTGTGTCTTTTCATTTTTTAAAAGTATCATTTCCTCTTGCATGCGATTTACATGCAAACCATGTTCTTAATATTTTCTTTAAGGGGCTAAAATAATACTTTTATTTGGTCAAGTATAGATGTAGATCACTTTTGCTTTATAATTTGAAAATTTAAATATAAGATCTAGTGCAAATGCATTTCTTCAAACTGCTGCCCCTACATGTGCCTGTGTGGGTTGTATGTACTTTTGGTGTCATGTGTCACATGACACAAAAGCAATCATGGACTCCTGCTAAAGGAATCTCTGTAAAATATCTTAATTTCAGATCAGTTTTAAAACAGAAGCCAACAGAGTAAATAATTTGAAATGGAACTAAATCCTCAGTCCATTTTAATGACCTGTTCCCTTCATTTTATGACTAGGTTTAAAGAGTATGTACAAGAATGAAGAAAGAGTGGTTCTTTGGAAATTTTAATCTCCCAAAGCACAGGCTTCGTTAGAAGATGGTTTGTTAATGTAAACAGAATTTACTTCACGGAGACACCACTTACGTGTTTTTGTTTTTCAAGTATGTTTGTAGGCAGCTCATCTGCGCAAAATAATGGGCACTTCCTTCCCTCCTGTGCCTGGGAGCTCTTCAGCCTTTTGAAGAATCTCATTTTACTTTTGTGTTTTCCCGATGAAGACAATGAATCCTTAACTAAGGTTAATAACAGAGTGGGAGCAGGTTCTGGCCATGTGCCAGTCGATCATACGCAGCAACTCTGAGCGGCTTCCTGATATCAACATCTACCAGCTGAAGGTGCTTGACTGTGCCATGGACGCCTGCATCAACCTTGGCCTGCTGGAGGAGGCGCTGTTCTACGGCGTCCGGACCATGGAGCCCTACCGGTGAGTCCCAGGAAGCGGTCGAGGGGCACCCCGGAATGTCTGCGCTCTAGGCGGAGGACGACTGGTGAAGCTTTCTGATTGCCATTTTATATCAGGTGCTCCCAACTTGTTTGATTTGTTCCTTGTTGTATTCATTCCTTTGTTCATGTACATATGCGTTCATCTGCCACTTGTCAAGCTCCCTTAGGGTGACAGGTGCTGTAGTTGTAGAGAGACTAGAACCGTCTCCATGTGCAGCAGATGATCACAGTATGATGTGGTGCTGGCAGTGAGAGAGGCAAGGATGGGGTGGGTGCCAGAGACAGAACACAGCTCAAGGCAGGACACTGTGTCCTTCAGCCTCTGCTGGCCCAGGTGAAGGCGTCCAGCATGGCACCCTGCATCTGCCTGGCTGAAGGGTGGTCTTTTCTGTGTATTTGTCAGAATCGATGTTTCCCAGAGCGCTGTCCCCCGCATCATTCATTTGCTTTCACAGCTACCTTATGACCTGGGCAGGAGAGCAGCAAGACTGCCTTACTCATAGGGTCACCAAGTCAGGTGATGCAACTATTGGTGAGTCACCATTTCTTGCCTGGCCTCAGCTCCTCCAGGTGAATGGGATTTTGCCCCAGAGGTTCTTGTAACTGGGAGGAGCTCTGGGACAGAGGGCAGCATTAGAGTGGAGTGTGGTGCTCACAGGTGTGAGGCCTCAATTTGCTGAGGGTTGAGAACACAAGTGTAGAAATCGAGACGAGATCAGTCTGAGGGGGAGAAAAGAGAGACATAGGAACTTTAACAGTGCTGGCAAACCTAAGGCACCTGTGCGCAGCTGATGTGTCGTTATCATTGAAAGCTCTCAACTATTTGCCATCACTGAACTATAATCTGAGACTGAAATAAGCCATTCTCACACAAAACAACACGACTGATAAGAAGGTACCTAGAAAACCACTTGGGACTCAAAGGGGACCCTTGAGAGCGAGAGCACCATTCTGGGAAGATGTTGAATTTCCTACCATGGAAACACGGTTATCAGCCAAAAGGGGCTAGACCTGTGTGGCAAAGGACAACAGGCAGGGAAATAGTTGTAAGGGCTGGGGGCAGGGCTCAAAGTGCTTCCACCCTCATGGAGGAAAGAGCTGCAAGAGAGAACTGGCAGGAGGAGTGAGCAGTATCCACATGACGAGAGAGGTGAGTCCAGGGTCTGGGACATTAGTGCAGATGAAGGTAGGATACCAGAAATGAGGCACTTGGCCAGGAAGCCAGGCCTGGCCCAGGAGCTTAGTGCAGACTGAGAAGATCCCAAAGATGGCAGAGGCCCCATCAGCCAGGTGGATGGCAGAGGCCCCATCAGCCAGCTAGTGGCAGCAGTGTGACCCTGCGGGTGTTTTCAGACTTTTGTAGGTAGTTTCTTTCACTGCTTTGTGGGTGAACAGCTTTGGAATCCAGACTGTGAGTCAGCTTTAATCAAACTTACAAGAGATTGCCTTGAGGGATGAGACTGTAGACTTTCCCATGAGCGGTGAAATATCTATTCAGTATGATGAATCTTGTGGGTTCTCAGAAAATATGAATTGAATACGGAGAGATAAGGCCTCCTTCTCAAGCCTCAGTGTTGCAACAGGCAGGTTGGGGTGGCTGGCGTTACCTCTGTGGAAGTTGGGCCTGGTCTTGGGAACCCAGATGGGTGAGTGGATGGATTCCAGCTGGGAGCTGCAGACAGGGAAGGTCCTCCTTCCCCCAGGGCCCCCAGCAGCCACTAGCCACACACTGATACCTCATCCTCCCCTTCCTCTTGATAGCCAGGCCACCTTACTCAGGCCACTCCAGAAGCATGGAAACTAAATCTGTCTGCCACTTCCATAAAGAAGGCCACACACTTTCAAGAATATCTGTTCTGTGTGTATTTTTTTAATCTGCTTTTCTTCATACCTACTGAGGCTTCTTGAAGCTGGACCTCACCCCATAATTAAATGACAGTTTTGTTGACCCTTGAGTCTGACAAAAGGACCTTTTTTAGAAGTGAGGCCAAGTCCTCAAGAATGTACTCCCTGATGTATGGAAAACATTTGGTTGTTTTCATGGTGTTTGGCAGGTCACGTTTTCTCTGTAAATGTGTACTCTGTTACTACATGAGGTGACAAATTTCCAAGCCTCCTTCAGTTTCTCTTCCCTGGGGCTTGTTAAGGAGTTTCTCTATAGCATGCTGCACTGATCTGCTTCGAGTGAGTGGGATTTGAATCCTTTCTTTCAAAACTATTGTAGAGAAAAAATATGAATAATCCAGACCAAATAAAGTTAAGAGAAATGGGAGCAGTAGGTGCTGGCATATTTTGCCCCTGTTCTCTTAGCTCAAGCAGAAGTGAAAATAAGTAAAAACTACAGACAAATGGGTCAGATGCCCTACCAGCCCTTTAGCAATCGTAGGGCACCAGGTAGGAGTGTGGGAACTGGCAGCGGCATGAGGGAATTCGCACCAGCGCTGTCAGCTCTCTACACAGTCGCCCTGCAGCAGCTGATCTAGGCGCTCTTTTTGCGCACCTTTAGCCAAGGACATGGACAGTTGGTTTGGCCTGGGTTCCCAAGAGGTGGCTGGATTGCCACGTGGTGTAACAGTTTTACAATGTTGATATATTGTTTGCAATGCCCAGAATGAGGTCAGGCCTCAATTTGTCACTCCTGACTTGGGCTAAATTTTAACTGCTGACCTTAGAGGACAAGAGTGGATATTCCTTTTGTTTTTTTTTTTTTTAAATCCAAATCACTGCTCTTGGCTTCCTTCTTGTTATTGTTTCATTTATTTTTACTCAATAGATTTTACTCAATTATGATGATGCAATTTAATGTTAGATTTTTTTGTTTCACAAAGCAAGTTGGAAATAATTCATATACAGCAAAAGGTATAATCTTTAGTATTAGCTTATCTTCTGGGAGTATCTGTGTATGTATTTGTGAAGTATAAACAAAAGCAGAAAGAATAGGGACTGATCTAAAAATGGTATATTCTGGAGGTGAAATGCGTATTTATTAGAAAGAATGAGGTAGACATTCAGGAGCTTTTTGGGACATATGTCTGCACTCTGTAGAAAAGTGAAGAAATCAAGTTGTTCCCTGAGTGAAACAGTGCTCTAATGAACATGTATGACTTTTATCTGTCTTTGTGCACTGCTGGGACTGAATCCATACGGTAAATCCATATGATAAGTGTCAACTACCTGCATCATAAGCCGTGCTCATTTTAAATTTGAACACTGCCATCACATTCTGTCTCCCACTCTCCAAAATGTCAGTCTTTCCTCCTCGAGGGAGTAAGAGAAAAGATGACACCCACTGATTTTTATCATACCTGATCTAAATTCATTTCAAAATACAGTGGACCCTGAATTTACAAACTCAATTGGATCCCGAGGGCTGGTTGTAACTAAGTCAATACAGCTGAGATCTGAGTGTTTACCTGAGTACACGCTATACATAACAAGAGGCAGGTGAATCTTCCATTAACTTAATTAACCCAAGTTGTTCATCAGTTGTGACTTGAGGGTCCACTGTATGCAGGGCCTTCTCCTTTTCCTTAATCAAAACCTGCAGTATGGGATGAGACTTGTTCATATTTGTTCATATCAATGCTATCCATAAATAGTATTTTTTGTGGCTACAGGAATGATATTATTGTGAAGTACCTGAGAAAGAGGTAGAAGAACAGGAATGTTGAGGAGATACACAAGTTTTGGCCACATGGATCAGTGGTGCTGTGGTCCAAGAAAGAGGAAAAGGAGAAAACCCCCCAAGCAGGAGAGAGCTGGAAGAGTAGGGTTCTGTCTCAGATAGTGTTCTCTGCTTTATTGTCAGAAAAGCCAGGGCTGGGTGGGAAGAGCAGAAGTAAAATGCAGCTGGCAGTTTGTGGCCGTGACATGCTTGTAAGTCAGGTGTTTATAAGTTAGAGATTGCCTGTAATTACATAGCAGCCGCGTCAGTTTTCATTTTGCCAGTAATTTTTAAACTTTTCCCTTGGAAGCTTTGGCAGATCAGTTGATAAAATGTAAGGTTTCATCACAGTGGAATTGTCTACTATTTTTAAGCTGGCTTTTCTTCTGAAGGCCTACAATTGCTCTTTTGTGGGTGCTTGTCATCAATCAATATGGCTTTCGAGTACAGGAGCCAGCAGAACCTGCCAGGTGCACATTACAGTGGTGAAACCCCAGGCGGGTAAGAGGTGCAGGCAGCACCCACAGCTCCCCTTCTCCACGTTGCTCGTGTCCATGTATCTGGCACTGGCACTCGTTTCTGTGGGGCACGCAGGGTTTTTGGCTATGGTACCCAGGTTAGAACTTTCCTAACCAGGCTCACAGAGTAGGACCTAAGGGTGAGTCAGAGCCAGTTCTCCACCCAGAGGAAGAAACAGCCCCTGAACTTCTAGCATTCTTTTTCTTTTGGTTGCTTGTCATGCATCTTCGATGGTGAGGTTTACGCAGTTATGTCACCCGATAATGAACATATGTTCTATTGTCTTCTTATTGATGTGCACAGTAATCCTTTAGCCACTTAATTGTTTTCTTTCCACGTTGTAGTTTTCAATTAAGTATTTGGTGGCAGAACCCCTGTTGAAGATTTTGAGCTCAGTCTATGTGGTAGGTATGTGTGTAACACTGAGTTACCTGGAAAATCTAAACCAGGGTCTCTTTCTGTTCATGTCACAGATATTTGCATGACGATGGGGCAGGGGTCCAGCAAGGCTTAAGCACTGTAAATTTAATCTGTGGCATACAGAATTTTAATTTGATTCTAAAGGGCAGGAGAGTCTTACTTTAGAATCTAGAAATTGAACAAAAGGAAACGGTGACAATGGTGAAAGAGGAAGGAGAAATAGGTGATGATGATGACTATGATTCAGTGCATAAATGTTATTAAACTGCTGACTTGAGTTCAGCCCTGGTAACTTGTGTCTTACATGTAGGGACACCTAGAGAAAATATGAAGCCTCTGGGAACAGGTAAAGGAGAGTATTATGAGCGCTTTCTCTG